CACCATGCCTGGCTAATTTTTTTAAAAATCTGGAGGGAGGCCAAGGTGGGCAAATCACCTGAGGTCAGGAGTTCAAAACCAGCCTGATCAATATGGTGAAACTCCGTCTCTACTAAAAATACAAAAAATTAGCCAGGTGTGGTGGTACACACTCATAATTCCATATACTTGGAAGGCTAAGGCAGGAGAATCACATGAACCCAGGAGACAGAGGTTGCAGTGAACAGAGATCGTGCTACTGCACTCCAGCCTTGGTGACAGAGCGAGACTCTGCCTCAAAAAATTTTTTCTGGCCGGGCGTGGTGGCTCAAGCCTGTAATCCCAGCACTTTGGGAGGCCGAGATGGGCAGATCACGAGGTCAGGAGATGGATACCATCCTGGCTAGCATGGCGAAACCCTGTCTCTACTAAAAAATACAAAAAACTAGCCGGGCGAGGTGGCGGGCACCTGTATTCCCAGACACTCAGGAGGCTGAGGCAGGAGAATGGCATAAACCCAGGAGGCGGAGCTTGCAGTGAGCTGAGATCCGGCCACTGCACTCCAGCCTGGGCGACAGGGCGAGACTCCATCTCAAAAAAAAGAAATTTTTTTTTCTTTTTTTTGAGATGAGGTCTCACCCTGTCGCCTAGGCTGGTCTTGAACTCCTGGGCTCAAGCGATCCTCCCACCTTGGCCTCCCAAAGTGCTGGGATTATAGGCATGAACCACTGAACCTGGCCCTGGTGGATCTCTTTTGCTCACCCTTGTCAGCATCTGTCACCTTGCTGGAACTCTCTGCACCTGTGGAGTGAGCGAGGACGTGGATCCCACCCTTCAGGCTTGTCCCTCGATGCTGTTCTCTCAGACTCCCCACGAGGACCACACCCCCTGGCCGGCTCTTTCCTGAAGACCACACTCGTCTCACCCTCCGTCCCAATGTCAGTGATGCACCCAGGCTCATCACGCCACCCTTTAGCTGCCAGCTCCTGCTCCCACCTCCAACCTCAGCAGAGAGGCCACTCCGTCCCGCACGCACCAGCTGGACCCATCCACCCTGCACAGCCACTGAGGCAGGGTGGCCAGCTCACTCATTGGGCTCTCCTACCCGACAGAGGCTTCCTGGGGCCACCTCCTTCACACTGCCTGGCACACAGTAGGTGCTCAATAAATATCTGTCTAACAAAGCTACTGAGCCCAGAACCCTGGCTCTAACCCCAGCACAGCTTCTGTCTTCCTCTGGCCTGGGCTCCCATCTGCCTGGGCTCCCAGGGGCCGGGGGCCAGTGTGGATACGACCAGGTACCAAGCTGAGTGAAACAGACAGAAGGTGCTCCGGGGACACCTGTAACTGGGGACTTTGCACTGGAAAGGGGGCAAAGGCTTCTGGAAGGAGCTGGGCTTTGACGGGCAAGAGGACAGGCTGGGGAGAAAAAGAAGAGAATCTTAATTTAGTTTTATTTTTTTAGAGACAGGGTCTGTGTATGTTGCCCAAGCTGGTCTCCAACTCCAGGCCTCAATGGATCCTCCTGCCTCAGCCTTCTGAGTAGCCTGGATTACAGGTGTGGGTCACCACATCTGGCTCTAAAGAGCAGACTCTTACACTAATTAATGAACAGTTGCATGCCGGACACTGTGTCTGGCACTTTATACAGGTTCACGTGTTCAATTCCTGTGACAGTCTTTTGAATAAAGGTTTACCTCCACTTCCCAGAAGAAGGGCGGCTGCAGAGACATGAAGCCACTTGTCCCGGATCCCACAGCTGCCTGCAGCAGATCCCAGGCATGGCCGGTCCCAGGGCCCTTGTCCTCGCTATCTACCTTGCCACCATCTGCATGCCAGCTTCTACCCAGGCAGCGTCCACCTCACTGGTGTCTGGGCAGAGGGAAGCCTTGTGGGCAAAGACCCAGGGGCTGGATGGAGCCTGCTGAGTGGAAGGCAGGACACACCTAAGAAGGTCGAGAATTAAATCTCCAAAAGTCAGCAGCAAAAGCCTGAGGGGAAGTGGGCTGGTCCCTTGCCTTCTCTGTGCCTCAGTTTCCTCATCTGTAAAATGGGGACATAATAGTACCTACTTCATAAAGAGGATAAATATCTTAAAGCACTTAGAATGGTGCCTGGCACAGATAAAGCATTGTAGAAACAGTTTCAATTAAATAAACGTGGTAGGAACATGGTGGGCCTGAGTCCAGGCAGAGGGCCGAGGAGCTCTCTGGCTGTCACTGGACCGGGAGGCTTGGCAGGTCCTTGGCCAGCTGGGGGTGGGCAGCCATGCTTTTCTTCCCCTGCCAGTAGGCAGGTCTTTGGGGAACTCTGGAGCGGCTCCATGAGGCCCCCAGGCCTGAGGACCACAGGCAGCCCACTCTCCCCTGGTTATTGGAGGTTGGAGCTGCAAGGAGGTCCCTGGGCCTCACTCCTTTCAGGATCTAGGGTGGGAGAGGAGTACGCATCCTTCTTCCCTTCACTCGAATGAGCCACACGTGCACCCAGGCTCCTGGGTCAGACTCCTAGGAAATGAGTGGGGGTGAGGAAGGTCCCCTAAGGATTACAGGTGGTTGGGGTCGGGGGGTAATTTCCCCTTTGGGACCCACCCCAATTAAGGTCCATAAAATCATCAAGACACCCCAAGGTGGAGGGGTGGCGGGAGATCTTGACGAGCGTCACAAGGCTGTGTGTTTTTGTATGGTTTTGTTTTGAGCCTGAGTCTCACTCTGTCACCCAGGCTGCCGTGCAGTGGTGTAATCTCGGCTCACTGCAACCTCCGCCTCCAGGGCTCAAGCGATCCTCCCATCTCAGCCTCCCCAGCAGCCCCTGTTGCTTTTCTTAGACCTGACAGAATCACCAAGGTCCCCAAGCACGTGTGCTGTGATGAGTGATGCCATCTCACCAATGAGGAAACTGAGGCCCAGAGAGATGCTATTTGCTGGGGCCTCACAGATAACCCTACTCAATCTTCAGGTCGGCCTTAAACATAGTGGTCTCAGGGGAGGCTGCCCTGACTCTCGGGTGGAGCTCAGGGTCCTGTTCCACTCTCGCACACATCCTGTACTTCTCCTTCAGGGTCGGAGGACAATGACAATGAGCCAGCTCGATGTTTCACTGTCTTTACTGTCTGCCTCCCTCTCTGGACTGTGAGTTCTCCAAGGGCTGGCAGTGTGTCTGTGCACTCACAATCGAACCCCAGAACCCAGGCAGGCCGGGCCCGTGGTGGGTAGGTGCCCATTGTTTGTTGAATGAATGAGTGAGCGAATGATGGAGTCAGAATGAAAACATACAGCCTGCCAGGCACAGTGGCTCACTCCTGTAATCCCAGCACTTTGGGAGGCTGAGGTGCGCAGATCGCTTGAGCCCAGGAGTTTGAGACCAGCCTGGGTACCCTAGTAAGACCCCATCTCTACAAAAAATACTAAAAAATTAGCCGAGCATGGTGGCTCACACCTGTAGTCCCAGATACTCAGGAGGCTGAGGGAGGAGAATCACTTGAACCTGGGATGCAGAGGTTGCAGTGAGCCGAGATCATGCCACTGCACCCCAGCCTGGGCCACAGAGCAAGACTCCATCTCAAGAGAGGGGAGGGGAGGGGAAGAGAGGGGAGAAGAAAAGAGGCCTTTAGGAAATCCTGCACAGGTACTGATTTGCTCTGTTAATTCCTCCAATGGGAAAGCGGTGTTGCTAGAGGCAGGAGGCACAGTCATGACACAGGGATCAGGGATTCGACCCCAACAGGCCAAGGTCAAAGGCAGAGATCAGGAAGTCAGATCCCACAGAGGACTGTGGCCGTGTCCCCCGGCCCTCTGCAGGTCCCCTGGCCCAGAGCCCTCTCCTCCCGCTGCCCCCTGATGTTTCTCCAGTCCCTTCCCCTCTGTCTCATCACTCTGTCCACCTCATCTGTGGTGCCTGAAAATCCCCTCTTGAGCTGTGGGTGTCATTCTTGTCTGATCACTGCCTCCCCCACCACGCACACCGCCAACCCCAAATACAGAGCTTCCACAAAACCCCTTATTAAGAAATTGGTCAATTTCCTGCTAATTAAAATAAATACTATGCCACATTAAAGGCCAATTAATTTTCAGAGCTGCCAGGGAAACATCGTCTGGAAAATGTCCACCCGCCGCCCCACCCCCTCCTCAGCAAAGGGCAGCCACATGGCCCCCAGCAGCAGCGGGGAGGGCCTGGTGGGTCCCCAGCTTCCAGCAGGGTGGGGAGGAAGGGATGACCAGCTGTGGACCCAGGCGGGTGGAGCTTCCTGTTCCTGCGGGGACTCCACTCATTCAGCCCAGGAGCTCAGGAAACCCAGGCCCTAAGGCCAGGTCTGCCTGGCTCACCTCACAACCAAAGGCGAGCACTTTCTCGAGAACTGGGTCCTTAGTTGGTGAGGACGATGGACTTCTGTAAGGCCTGCGTTCACCAGGCTCTGCACCCCGAAGTTATCTCACTGAGGGGCACAGCAGAATGCAGAGAGATGCGCCATTGCTCCCATTTGGCAGATGGGCAAGATGAGGCCCAGAGACACCAAGCCCCTCTCTTTTTTTTTTTTTTTTTTTGAGACGGAGTCTTGCTCTGTCGCCCAGGCTGGAGTGCAGTGGCCAGATCTCAGCTCACTGCAAGCTCCGCCTCCTGGGTTTATGCCATTCTCCTGCCTCAGCCTCCCGAGTAGCTGGGATTACAGGCGCCCGCCAACTCACCCGACTAGTTTTTTGTATTTTTAGTAGAGACGGGGTTTTGCCGTTTTAGCCAGGATGGTCTCGATCTCCTGACCTCGTGATCCACCCGTCTCGGCCTCCCAATGTGCTGGGATTACAGGCTTGAGCCACCGCGCCCGGCCAAGCCCCTTTCTTGTATCACAGCTTCTGGGGGCAGAGCAGGATGTACGCCTGGTCCTGCCTGACGATACCCAGAGAAACTCGCGGCAGACCCTTCCCCATCACACACCGTCCTCCCACACCAGCACAAAGGTCAGGGGAACGGCTATGTCTGCATAAAAGCAAATGTCATCAGTTGGATTTGTTCAAGGTGAGGCTTACCTGCTTCCTAATCATATCAAAAGCTCCCGTTGATGGAGCGTCAGGGACGTGCCAGGAGTCCTGCCAGGCACTGACCAGTTGTCATCTCACCGAATCCTCACCAGCATCACGCAGCTCAGCGAGGTTAGGTAACACACCCAAGGTCACACCGCCTGCCCACAAATCAGTCATGGCAATTTCCTGTCTTCAAGGTCCAAGTTTTGCTATTCCCTCAAGCTCAAAGCCAAGGTCTTCTCCTGTCCTGAGAGGACATCGAGCCATAGACAAAATGCTGGGTTCCTGGTGTGACCTCTGACAAGCCTCTTTGCCTCCCTGGGCCTCAGTTTTCTCATCTGCCAAATGGGAGGGCTGGACTGACTACTCCCTCGGACTCTGTTTAACTCGAGCATCCTGCAGGGGCCCTCAGCCTGCGGCAGGTGGGGTCAGAGGGCAGATGGCCAGGAGCAGAGCCAGATGGGAGCAACAGCCTTCCCCCTGCCAGGACAGGGAGACCTGGCTGCCTCGCAGTGAGAGGTCTGGCAGCCAGGGAGGGTAGTGGGGACAAGGGCCTGGCCAGGGCTGGCCACGGAGGACACTACCCCCACCTCCAGCTGCCCCTGTGCTGCAGACAACTCCCAGGGTGGCAAGGGTGGCATCCTGATCCCAGCAGCGCCTGTAGGACGGAGCACCTGCTGTCCACCCACCCCCTGCCACTTGCTCTCCCTTCCTCACCCAACCCCAGGAGCTCAATGCCTGCTCAGAGCAGGAATAAGAGGCAGGGGAGGGGCAAGGAGAGGAAGGGGTCATTAGGGGCCTTGCTGATCCTTCGTGGGGCCTCTATGTCCCCATCCCTCATGCAGAGCACTAACTTGGAGGCCGAGCATTTCATCGAAGCGAAGCGTCTCTCGCCGGCATCGTCGGAGAAGTGCTGAGGCGTCCCGTTTCTCCTTGAGGCTAAGGAAGGAGAACACAGATCCGGAGTGGAGCGCGATCTGCCATCCCTGAGCCGAGCACGCCCACCGTGTTGGGGATTCATTGCTTCCATCCTTCAGCCCACTCTATGGCGCACCCACCGTGTGACAGGCGCGGTGCTGGGCACCAAGGACAAGAAAATGAATAGGCCACGACATGCGCGCCTGAGAAGTCCCAGAATCAGACGGGAGACAGACCCGATGCCACACACCAAGCTCTGAATGCACACAGGACACTGAGTCACTCCTTGGGGGTGAGGAGGTTCCCAGGGCACTCGACAACTGACAGAGTCTGGAAGTGGCCTGGAGGGGAAAGGGCATTCCTGGTGAGGGGACAGCAGGAGCAAAGGCCTAGTGGCATGAAAAAGACCAGGGAGTGCTGAGGAAACAGAGAGCAGCTTGCTGTTGGGGCGGCATCGGCGGGTGGAGCTGGAACCGACGAGAAAGGAGAGGCTGACTGGGGTTCAGGTGGCCAGGACCTTCTGTGCCATGCTCTGCCAGTTACAGCCAGCAGTGGTGGTAAGCACAGCCATCTGGCATTGAACAGTGACAGTATGGCCAGTACTGTGCTAAGCTCATCTCAGTCACTCTCTCACCACATCCTCCAACGAGCCCATGAGGCCCAGAGAGGTTAGGCGAGTTGCCAGTGGTCACACAGCTGAATAGTGGCCAGGCTGGAACTTGGACTCAGGCTCCCAACTCTCACCCACCAGCATGTGCTGCCTCTGAGGAGTTTGGGCTTCCCCTTCAGGGCAACTGGGAGCCATGAGGGATTTTTAAGGGGGGTGGGTAGCACAGTCTCAGTGCTCCGAATCCCCAAGTCACGCTCGTGGAGAACCCGCTGCGTCCACCTGGGAGACATGGTCAGTCTGTTTGCAGGGTCTCAGGTTCACCTCGGCCTCCCTGGGAGCTGTCCTGGTCTTCTCCATGCTCCTCCCTGAGTACTGGGGCTTGGCCTGCGTCATCTACCCCAGTCCGTGCTGCTCCTGGGTTCCAGCCTTAGGGCTGGGTCACTGTTGCCAGGGCCTCTTCATAACCCAGGTGCCTACCTGTCAGGGTCTCAGCCCCTCCAACACTACCTGGGGCCCCCACATTGCCCACCCTCTCTTCCCTCCCTCCCTTGCTTGGGGATAGCACCTGGGATGTGGGGTGCACAGGGAAGTGCCCCCTGATGGAGCTGGACAGCCCTCAGGAAGATCCAGCAGCGGTGGCCTCTCTTCGCTCTTCCCCGCTTCCTCTCGACTCCCTCTGCCCACCTAGCTTTCACATTGGCACTGGATTGTTCCTTTCCACCATCTCCCCTCCAGGGCTTTCATTCTGCTCCCCCGACCCCAGGTCTCAGCATTGCAGGCATCACAAAACGGTAGATTCCAGAGGCTCCAAAACACTTCCACCCTCCAAGCACCCACTGAGCATATGGAGAAGCTGAGGCTCAAGCAGGGCCAATGGCAGAGCAGCTGGAAGCCCAGTTCTCCTGTGCTCTCACCGCAGCTCCGGCTCCTGGTCAGCCGCCCACCAGGCATCTGCTGAGTGCTATGTGTTTCCATATAGGGGCATCTCACACTTGGTCCTCACTCCAGCCCAGAGCAGGCTGGGTTAAAACAGGAAGGCTGGGCTGTCCAGTTCTAGCTCCTAAAAATGCAGTGAGTCCCATTTTGGCATCTCTGTCTTGCAAACAGGTAAAAGGAGGCAAGCAGTAGCTCAATGACTTGCTGTCCCTGGTCATGTGTCAGGCAACCACAGTCACACAGTCACAAGGGTCTCCTGAAATCCTGCCTATTTTTAGTGTTAGGGTCAGGAAATGCCTTAGTATAGACTACTCTCCCTGTACCCATGGCAGACATTACTAATTGATCACAGCACTCTTTTCCTGTAAGCCCTGATGTAGACTCATAATCGTCAACACAGCCTCTATCTGAGGAGCTGGCAGTCAAGGTGACACCTGTTCACTGCCCTCCCTGGACAGTAGGATCCAGTCTTATCTGGTATCTTCCCAGCACTTGGCTCAGAGCCCAACACATGGCACAGATCACAATAATAAAATTTTTTTTTTTTTTTTTGAGATGGAGTTTTGCTCTTCTTGCCCAGGCTGGAGTGCAGTGGCACAATCTCGGCTCACTGCAACCTCCGCCTCTGGGGTTCAAGCAATTCTCCTGCCTGAGCCTCCCAAATAGGTGGGATTACAGGCACCCACCACCATGCACGACTAATTTTTTTTTGTATTTTTTAGTAGAGACGGGGTTTCACCATGTTGGCCAGGCTGGTTTTGAACTCCTGACCTTAGGCGATCTGCCCGCCTCAGCCTCCCAAAGTGCTGGAATTACAGGTGTGAGCCACCGTGCCTGGCCACAGTAATAAACTTTTTAAATTGTTTTTGAGATGGCGTTTCGCTCTTGTTGCCCGGCTGGAGTGCAATGGCGCGATCTCGGCTCACTGCAACCTCTGCCTCCCGGGTTCAAGCGATTCTCCTGCCTCAGCCTACCGAGTAGCTGGGATTACAGGCATGTGCCACCACACCTGGCTAATTTTGTAGTTTTAGCAGAGATGGGGTTTCTCCATGTTGGTCAGGCTAGTCTCGAACTCCCGACCTCAGGTGATCCGCCCGTCTCGGCCTCCAAAACAGTTGGGATTACAGGCATGAGCCACAGTGCCCGGCAGTAATAAACTTTTATTGAGTGAGTGGGTGAACAAATGGTAACCACTGAATGAATGATGCCTCCTAAAGCCAGTGGCTCTAACCAGCTTCTTTTGTAGCAACAACATGATAGCAATAATCATAACAGTGTAATGCCCCCAGTAGCCGACGCTTCCCGAGTCTCTAAGGTGTTTCATCTGAGCTGATGGACAACTCTGGGATGCCATTTCCCCAGGGTCACACATCACGGGACAGAGCCAGGCCCCGCCCCTGATCTCCTGCTTCTGAGTCCAGGGCTCTGCCCCAGCTCCGATCTCTGCTAGTCCCACTGCGGCTTATCTGGGTCAGTCAGAGTGGACCTGGACCTCAATCTGGGGACCCTGCCGGTGTTGGCAGCAGATCCCAGGGACCGGAGTGGGAAGGGGTTCCCGGGAGTAGTTAGTTGGGTGCTTCTTCACCTGCTTGGAATTGTAGAAATACACAACAGGAGGCGCCACAATGCACCACCTTTGCCATGACCTGACCCCCCACCCCAAAATTCATATGTCAAGATATAATCTGCCCCAAGCATGGTGGCTCACGCCTGTAATCCCAGCACCTTGGGAGGCTGAGGCAGGTGGATCACCTGAGGTCAGGAGTTCCAGACCAGCCTGATCAACACGGTGAAACTCTGTCTCTACTAAAAATGCAAAGATTAGTCAGGCATGGTGGCGCACACCTGTAATCCCAGCTACTCGGGAGGCTGAGGTGGGAGGATTGCTCGAACCCAGGAGGCGGAGGCTGTAGTGAGTCAAGATCACGTCACTGCATTCCAGCCTGGGTGACAGAGAGAGACCCTGTCTCAAAAACAAGCAAACAAACAAACACCATTCTCTGCAATGTGTATTAAGAGGTGAGGCTTCTGGGAGGTGATGAGGTCATGAGTGCTCCATCCTCACGAACGGGATTCGCACTCTTAGGCAAGAGGCCTGGGGAGCCTGCTTGCCCCTTCCACCACGTGAGCACAAGGGTATAAGGCACCATCTGTGAGGAAAGGGCCCTCATCAGACACCGAATCTGCAGGCACCTTGATCTTGGACTTCCCAACCTCCAGACCTGTGAACAATAAACTTTTTTTAAATCAATAACCCAGTCTAAGGTATTTTGTCATAGCGGCCGAATGGACAGGGACAACCTTTTTCGAACAGGTAGAAGAGAGTGGCCCCCAGGAAGTGTGATCTACCCAAGGTGACCTGGCGAGCTTGGCTGAGGAAGGTGTGCAGAGCCCAGTGTCAGAGCCCCCCGGAGACACCCTCTCCTCTCCTAGTGCCCTGTGCACTTGGGCTTAGTTGCTTTGCCTCCTTTTGAGAATCTGAGTCCCTCGGAGGGAGGAACCTGGGCACCTCACATAAGGCTTGGCTCAAGATGGGTGCTCAGTAAACACTGAATGGACAGATCGGCAGAAGGAAGGAGACAAGGAAAGGAGGAAGGGAGGGAATGGGTAAGTGAGTAGATTCATGGATGGGTGGAAGCCAGGGAGGGAGGATGAGTGACTGGGAGAGGATGGATGGATAGAAGGATGGATGGATGGATGGATGATGAATGGATGGATGATGGATGGATGGATGAAAGGAAGCAAGCCAGCATGGATGGAATGAGTGATGGAATTGATTGTTCCTTGTCCCCTGCACCTGGAGGCCTCCAGTGACTCAGCCACAGAGGTCAGGAAGCTGGAGACATGAGCGGGCGGCTCACTCCATGGTCCCCTCCCCCTCCCCACCCGATATTTTCATTAGGACACATCTGCTGCACCTGGCCCCTCGGCCCCTGCCCTGCGAAGCTGCAGACGCTTCTGCTGGCTTTATTAAGGACCTATTAACCCAGCGGCTCCAGGCAGGGCTAACTATGCTGTCACTGCAGACGCTGGTTTGGTAGAGAGCTTCAGAGGATCTCAGTAGGGAGGGCCGGGAACCTAAGGTTACAGCGAGGTCTTTAGAGCTGCACAGGCCTGCCTGGTTTAATCCCAGTTCTTCTGCTAATTGGCTGTGTGGCCTTGGGCAACTTACTTCCCTTCTCTGAACGGCAGCTTCCCCACCTATAAAACGGTCATAACGTGCTTGTTTGAGGATCCACTGAGCTAAAGCATTACAACACCTAGCCCAGAGTAAGCACTTGTTATAACCAGCAGCATATCCAAGGACCACCTGGGAGCCAGGTCCAGGATGGCGTGCTCACACACAGCAGCCCCCATCTTTGGGATCAGGCAGGCGCTGTGACCCACCCTATTTCACGGATGAGAAAACTGAGGATAACAGGAGATGAAGCGATTGGCCAAAGCCACCGTGCCAGGCAGTGACAGGGCTGAGATTCAAACGTGGGCCGTGGAGACCGTGACTGGGCCACTTCCTGCCGGCTACTGAGCAGGAACAAAGGCCGGGGCGGGAGGGCGGGGCTGGAGGGGCGCTTCTCCCACCAGCTCCTCGGAGGTGACAGCGCGGAGGAGGGGAGGGGAGGCTGGGACAATCACGCTGATTTACGGCTTCCAGCGGAATTAACTGCACCATCTGGAGGCCACGCGTCCACCCGGGTGTGTTAGGAACCCCAACCCTTCGGTGTAAATGGCAGGGGGAGACACGGTGGATGGCAGATCAGCTGTGAGATGCCAGGTTGACTGTGGGGACCATGTGGGGCCCACTTGGCTTTCTTCAAGTCCCTATCTACCCCTGAGGATGTCTCCCACTGAGGGGGCTGGATCTGCACCAGACTCAGAAGATTCCAGAATGGCTGGATCCAAGGGTTCAAATACAAAGGGAGAGCTGTGGCCTGAGCCACCAAAAAGTACAGGGGGTGAACAGGAAGGGCAGGGGAACAACAGAGACAGGAGCAGCACCTGGACACTTGCTCTCAGGGGTGTGCGACAGCGACTGCACCACCTTCCAGCTGCGTCCCCGGCAAGTGGCTTCACCTCTCTGAGGCTCTGTCCCCTCATCTGTGAAACTGGAATCATCATGGTCTTTACCTCACTTGGTTGTTTTGAGGCTCGAATCAGATAAGGAAATGTACAAACCTCAGTGGAGTGCCTGGCACTGAGTAAGTTCACAATTAGTGGCAATTGTGATTATTATCCCATTTGCCAGATGAGAAGACTGAGGCTCAAAGCAGCTCAGGGACTTGTCTTGGATTACACAGCGGGTTGGTGGCAGAATCCCTGGCCTCTGCTTCTCCTGACCCCAGTCCGGTGCTCTTTTCCTGGAGGCTGGACCAAAGAAGAACCTGCCTTGGGATACGGCCAGTCCCAGAGTGTCAGAGACCCAAGGTGGCCATCCTGGGTCACGCCAGCTCCAATGACAGCTTCCATGTTCTAGCACCTACTGTGCACCAGACGCCGTGCCACGAGCTTGTGTGCACCACCTCCAGGAGCCATCACCATCTGTGATGGGGGCACTGCGCTGTCCCTGTCATCCAGATGCACAATCTGTGGCTTCAGAAGAGCTGGGATCCACTGCCAGGACTGTCTGGTCCTGGAATCCCCATTCTCAGCACAGGCTACTGCCCGCTGGGCCAAGGTGGGGCTTCTCTAGACTGTAGCAACAGCTCCCAGGCGCCTTCTCCCCATGTGTTCATCTTCTCCTTCAAGGAGAGATGGCAATATGACACCCAGACCGCCACCATGGACCCTAAGTCTTCTGGATACCAGACAAGTTTTCCCTGCAGGGCTGGGTTCCTTTCTCACATCTGGAAAGGGGGAGGGAGGAGGGAAGAAGAAACATCAGTCCTAGCCCCTCCCTCCCTTCAGCCAGCACAGGGCCGCAGTGGGGGCCCAGGCTGCTAGGCGATGGTGGCGGGGAGGTTTGAAGCATGCGGTCCCCCTTCCCTGCACACCCTCCCTACATTCCCATCTGGTCAGCCTGCTCGCTGAGAGTTGAAGTCCGCCTTGTACAAAAAACAAAAGCCTCCCCTTTCCAATGTAGAAAGCCCCAGAGACCCGGGCCACTCCGCTTGCCTTCTCTCTTGGCCATTGTGGCCAGGATAGGGGCCGGGGAAATGACAGCTGCCCTGTCCAGGGGAGAGACATCCCAGTCGTTGGCTTGGGTCCGCTCTGGGGCCATATCCCAGGAGCAGCCCGCGGAGCCTGTCCCCGCTGACTCGCACCGGCCGCCGCCAGGAGCAGGGCCAGATGGGGCAGCCCAGGCTCCGTGATCCCTCCCCCTGGGACCTCCGGGCCTGGCCATCCGAAATGACCCTTGCCCCTTCCCCACAGAAGCCCAGACCTCTGACCC